AACAGACTCTTAAAAAAAAAAAAAAAAAACAATCAAATCGTTCTCCGGTGGATCCCGACTCACTGCAGCATACATGGGAATGAGTTAGCGGACATACTTGTGAAAAATGGAACAAAAGAGGAACAACACACCCATTCACTGTCATTACCAGAAATCAAAACACTTATCAATGGTAAATACAATGAACTATGGAGAGAACAAACTAACAGTAAACATCTTCAAGACCCCATGAGCAGACTCAACAGAAAGCAACACAAAACAGTTTTCCGTCTACGAACAGGACACTGCCGGCTATACATGCATCAAATAAAGATTGTACAGTCCCCACAGTGTGCCTGTCAGACATGACCACAAACACCTGAGCATATTCTGCAGACCTGTCCATTCTACCAACAACTATGAAAAGAAACCTGGCCTCAACAGCAAAATGTGCAGAGCCAGCTATGGGGAACCTGCAGCTGATATTCGAGTTCTTAGAGGCAACCCACCTGATGGTCTGACCTGAGCATACCAAACTGAATGCAAAGTAGAAGAAGAAGATGAACCACATAATACTACGGTAAGAGGTAAAGAAATCTGCTCCATTAAGAAAAGAAAATATTTATAACATACTGATGAAGAAATAATTTAACAACATAAACATTTAAAACTAACTTCAGACATGTTGACTATTCAGAGCATGTCTCATTTTGTCAAGAATTTCCACTTACCTGCCTCAGGTATGAGAGTCATCTCTAAAATTGGTCCTACAAGCTGAGGGATGAACTTGATTTTGTTTGGTCCTAAAGAGAATAAATTCAATAAAATAGTATTAAGAGTAAACATCAAAATTAAGAATACAGATGGTGACAAATGATTTAATACATATTATATTAAACACATAATTATAGATGAGAGGAAGATCACTGTCACAGTCTCTACAAGATAATAATGTGTGCAAGAGAAACGTTAAAGACACAGGTACTGAGATGGGGCAGACCCCATCTCCACGTCCATGTTGTTGGAAGTGGTAGAAAGGACAAAGTAGAGGACTGCTGGGATTGGGTGAAGTGTGATGTGGCCTTGTACTACTATGTTTGCCAAAGGCCTAGGAAACCGGCCATAGATTTATTTTCCCTACAAAGAATATGATCTATATCATAAATTCCTAACCCTTTCTGTGTTTTGTGTGGCTATTATAAATAAAGTGTTTTAACTCTTCCCAAACCATGACTAATACATGGGTTAGATTTTCATTTACCAGTATGACTACAATGTTTAATTTAACAGTCACATTGGTGGCCCAGGTTACTGTGCATTTCTTAATTTTATTGCATGAATCAGTAAAAGTTAACTGAGGTAGAGGACAGAAGAATAAGACTGTCTTTCACTATCCAGGGTGATGATGGGCAATTAAATCTGGTTAGATATAAAAGGACTGATCAAATGTCATTAGACCATGGCAATGTTAAAGGATTATTTCTATTCCTGGAGCAGTAAAAGAGGAAGTGAAGAAGAAGAATGAAATGGATTCATGGAAACAGGATCCATAGATCATGATGTTTGCAGGAGAAAGATCGATTGGGGGAGGAGGAGGGGGGGGGGGGTTAGAAAACTAATAATTAAGGAGATCATGATTATAGAAAATACAGAGCATATGAGAAGGAGCAGAATAACATAACATATGATGCTAACAATGGCCCTAAAATCCCATGTACTTATTGGGAAAGATTTTTTAATGCAAGTTGGTCATGTCTGTCACATTCACCATCACCACAGCCTGTGACTCCCATGTATTCCTATGGTATAGTATATTAATATTTGTCTGGAAAGATGGAAAGGTGCCAACAGCTATACAATTATAAATTTGCTAACTAAAAACTGAAATGATGTTCTACGGTTATTTTTATTAAATAAAAACATTCAACAGTAAGCAACATATAAATTTTTATTAAAATACACTGGAGACTTCACTGACAATATACAAGCAGGTTTACTGTTGTCAGAAGGAAAAACTACAGAGATTAGATTACATGACAGTGGTCATCATCAATCAGCAAGTTCTTTAAAGAATGCCACTCTTATCATGCACACGTGAAAGTCTCTTTGTCTCTAGCCTATTCTCCTGTCTTATGTGCTTCCATAGCCAATGCATCTTGAACGTCCTGTACCCCCGGCCCCAGACTTGTTCTCCAGAAACTGTATCATTTATCATTTTTCCCAGGCCACCATGACATTAAACAGCCAAAATACCATAACTTTTGGGATAGAATGCTGTTAAGGGGCCAGTTCTCCTCAATGTTTATGATGAATATCAATATTTTTCTTTCTTGGTCATGGTTCTCTGAGAAAAGTTTTGCAACATATCAGTTCAAAAGCTCCAACTTTTGTTTTCAGTAATTTGGAATTCTGCCTTGGGAAAGATACATGATTTCACAATTTTTACTTTAACTAGTTTGCAGGTTATGTACCATAGGTTGTTAACATTGTTTCATCTCTGCATTAAATGAATAGCAAACTTTGTTTACTTCTGTTTGTGTGTGTCTTAGATTTAGTAATTCCGAAGTGACAATTACCATAGTGTGTTCCGATGAAATACTTTGTAAAGCAAAGAATTTTTTGGCAGATGAGTACAGCGTGTTCTGTGTGCTATCCAAAAATTCATTGAGTGGTTAGAACATTTGCTGCTCTACCGGATCAATGAACATCTCTTGAAGGGATATCTTATCATAAGCACACATGGCAACTACCCTTGTATCTCTTGTCATGTTCCCACAGGCTTGTATAATTCATAGCCTAGAATGTGTGAGGTTTTCTTTCCTTACAGAGATCCCAAATAAAGAATTTATGACTGGTACCAATATATATATATATACAAATATACATGTCAGCTAATTTGAAATTCAGAAAACTATTTTACCTAATTTGAACCACATTGAACGAATTTCAAAGCCAGTTTCTCGTCTCATATCTTTGTATCTGTAGAAAAGAAAGGAAACCATCAATTACCACAGCAGTTCACTAATAATAAATGACCATGACAACATATTACACAAAAGATAAATAATACTCCAAGTGTGATGTTCTTACCTGGAAATAATTTTATTTCTCTTGGACTGCGAGAAGTTGTCCAGCTGAAGACTGTCTTGTGTCAGGAAGGCAATGGCACAGTGGAAAAAGTTGTTCCATAGCTACATAAAAAAAAAAAAAACGTATTTCTTTCGACTGAGTCTCATGAACAGTTTATGTGAAATTGGTTTAACAGTATGTTGAGTCGATGTGTTTCTAGTCACACTGCACAAATATATAACAAGATAACTTTTATTTAACAAGTTTTGAACTAACCCTGTCTAATGCCTACAATTACTTTAAGCAGATCTGACTAGTCACACATAATAAAGAGATGAACAACTATATATGCACAAACAATGTATATAAGGCAGCTTATCTTATGACCTCCATAGTTTAAAAAAAACAACACACATGAGGCTAAGCGGGTCACACAAACACAATCTACATTTTGAAAATCTATCTGTTTATTTTAGTAATCATACAGGTCTCATCCACTTATGAATAAATGAGCATCCCTTCTCACTTGCCTGTAATGTTGCTCCCAAACAAACAATGTTTTCTGTAGTGACCACCTTTGCTGCATAGAGGTAGGTACCACATTTCCCGCCATTCATTCAATCCAGATAATCAGTGATCAGCACTTCAAACTAGACTGTTTAGAAGGCGTTTTTCTACAGAACTTCTGTTCACACTGAAGAGTGTATAGTTCAGGTAACTAAAAAAGACTTTTCTTCACACTGAGACTTATTAGGCATTTTGCCCCAGCCTCCATATTTGTATATACTAATCAGAACACAGTGAGTCATGTATACCATTGTTTACTAGCATGTCATCTTACCTGCTGCTCAAATGGTGTGGAGAAGCATTCATGAATGGTTGTTGCAAAGAATCTTAATGCTCTTAAGATGGTGCTGTGGAACAGTCAGAAATAATTAACTCATAGCTTGAGTCTGGTATCCTGGGAAGGAAAGACACTGGTTCATCACTGCATAAAGTTATGATCTAATGAATGTGATTTCTGTCATATTTCATACTGACACAAATGTAGATGACTGGACTGCATTTAAAATTTTACATTTACAAATATTGATGGTTCTAATGACCCCATACATATATGCACTCACACGAAGATAACTAAATAAGCTATTATTTTCCTTCTTTCATACATACCCAGCACACAAGCAGTTCAACTTTTCAAGAGTAACTACAGCATAACTTTGTTAACATAAACTCACTTAAGAAGAACACTTGGTTAATATAAACAAAATGTGGGTCTCAGCAGTGATGTATCAATGTGAATCCCCAGGAAAATTAACCTTAAAAAAAAAACACCATAAACTCTTGATTTTTGGGTTCTCTGCGATCTGTATTAATGTAATTTACATTCGGAACTAAAGGTGAAAGAAGTCAGATATTACCATTGGATACAAAATATTAAGCCTACACATACTCCAGGCCATAACATATGGGAATAGTATGGTGAATTCTCTTCCTCACTCCCTTATCATTTTGAAATTAATCCCATACAATTCCTAAAATTGCCTAGTTATCGTGTTGTATGAGAATCAACTGACCCCAGAGCTCTCCTGGTTGGGATAGATCCTGCCACTTGTGGGAACTGATACTGGAGAACTGTGTGAGTGCGCCAGTGCATGAACCACAATGGCTGGCTGGAACTAGCACAACTAATATATTATCAAGCTAACCTGAAGTACAAACTTTAGACAAATTGTAATTTTGTTGAAGTTTTCTTACCAGTTCTGGATCATGATCATCTCCAGCCAGTCTGAAGGGTAGACATTTCTGTGGACCATATCTTGAAACACACAGAGAATCTCCATGAGGAAGTCCATCAAATCAAAGCTGGTGGGGAAACTCTGGATGTAGGCTCGGTAATGGCTGTCTGTCATCTGCCGCAGGAGACTGATCATCACACTCACACAGTTGCCCTGAGTTAGATTCAACAGATGATTTGTTAAAAAAGGCATCAACACATTTTAAAATAACTGAAGACAATGAATTTGTTCTATTACATCAAAAACTTCTAACATAGCAAGCATCCACTATTGTTAAGTGATTTAATAGCTGGCATGGGTCCACAGTGTTAAAGCGTGTTAATATTTTTGTGTGTGAGGGTCTTTTCATGTGAAGATCCATGGCTGTCAATAATCTTCTCTCATTTCATACTTCTATCTTTCTTTTGTTACATGTTCCAGCTTTTTCTCTCCAGTGTTTGTGGTAAGTTGTCTTCATTTTTTAGCCTCTTTCGAAACATTTTAGGTTATATTTTAGATTTAGACTTGTGGATGCTGTCAACCCATTCTAATCAGAGTTTGCCAGTTTGGATGTTCTTAAACAAGCTCAATGAGTCTACCATTATCAATGCGTGAGCTGCTTTCTGCCCCGCCAGCCATGCAACTGCTCCTGTCACAGCTGTTATCTCCATCATCGATGCCAGAAGCAGCTGAACTGAATGCCTGACTTTCTTCTTTTGCTGTCTTCCCATTGACCCGTGCTGTGTATGCTGACTGAGACTGCACGGCATGAATCACTCAGGTATCTGCATAGATGTTGACATCACCTGGTCGAGTGTGATTGTGGATCCATTCAGCACCAAACCAATGGGCAAACTGGAATTGTAGATTACTATGTCTATGGAACTGTAAGAAATCTTCTGTAGAGCCACAAATCTGAGGAATTTTGTTCCTGTTGCTTATTTACTTTTTGTGCAGCAGTCACAGCCACATATTTAAAACTGGTTTAAAAAAATTTAAATTTGCTTGGTATGCTGTGATTTTTCAATTCATCTTCATCTAGGTCTCTCTTAACTTTATGTGTTTCAATTTTCATGTTTTACACTCTGGCTGCTGGTATCATTTGGTTTATTTGCATTCGGTGGCCAAATCATTTGTCTGTGGTTCTTAATGATTTTAACTTTAGGTACTGTTCCAGTATTCTTCCGATCTCTTGATTTCTCACACTATCTATTCTGGATGTGTTCGCAACCTTTCTGAAACATTTTATTTCACAGGTGGTTAGTTCTATTTACTGTTCTTAGGTTAATGTCTAAGTCTGACATGATAACCCAAAGTTAGAGATTACATATAATCTGTTACCTTTTAAATCTATTTTTGAGATAACCGGATGTTTCAAGCTCAGAATAAGTTGATATGTGATGTCGTTGACTTTTTGCTTCTATCTCTCTGTCTAATCTACCACTGTACGTAGAGATACTTCTGAAATATTTATTTTCTGCACTTGATTTAAACTTTAATCTTTTATTTTTATGTTAACCCTGTAACCTCAAGGCAGCCATTTTACTGAACATTTACAGGGTTTTGAAATCTTTGGGAAGTGGCTTGACCTGTGCAACTTTGTCTGTTAGCCATCGTTGGCAAACCCAGGAAATATCGCATGACATGGCAAAAGGTGTCTCTTGTAAAGGCGAGTATGAGTCTCATGGCTTCATTGTGTACTCGGTCCAGCCCATTAGGCATGTTTCAAGGAAGTTGCTTACTTGACTTAAACTGACCAGTCAATAAAGTCTGTAAAATAACTGATACTAGGTAAATATCTAATTGGCCATCTTTACTTCCCAGGACTTCTGTTGCTGGTAACAATTTAAGACTGGGTTTATCTTAGAGTTCCGAGAAACATTCACCAATTCCAGCCTCAATGGTAGCTTGAACATATGACCACAAGTCAAGTGTGCTAGCACAGCTCACAGATTGATTAGTAACTTGTGTCAACTACAATCATGTTCAGTTTTGCTTTTCGGTTCAACATTATGAAAATCTGTTTTGTCTGTTTTAACTTTAAACAGGTAATTTAACCATGCTGGTTTACACTAAAAATACTTTTTTTAAAAGTACATAAAAGTATACGGAACAATGAAGAAATAATAACACTAGTTTTTTACACTGCTACAGGCAAATAATATTCCTATGTGACAGCAAATTATGCTTATTAGGTTTCTGACATGTAAGTGTCTTGAAAGAATGTTCATAACGTTAGATAAAATAATACCTTCATAAATTACCATCAAAACAGAAGGTCTGATGTGGAAAAAAAAAAAGCAGAGCAGGCACAAAACAGTATTCAACAGAATATATAACAATCTTTTACTGATGATAGGTTACACACCAGTACAATTTAGAAGCAGAGGGTAAAGACTGCACCAACTCACAGTGATGAAAACAAATATAGTATCAGGTAACAGGGCTATGGGTGTTTATTCATGGCATAATATTGGTAACATTTGTCTAGATTATAGGGCGATCAAGACATAATCCATTTCAGGAAATAGTCTACAAAGTAAACTAATAAGTGGCTGATGACCACTCAGTGCAGAGTTAAACTAATAAGTGGCTGATGACCACTGAGTAAGGAGTTAAACTAATAAGGGGCTAATGACCACTGAGTGCAGAGTTAAACTAATAAGTGGCTGATGACCACTGAGTGAGGAGTTAAACTAATAAGGGGCTAATGACCACTGAGTGCAGAGTTAAACTAATAAGTGGCTGATGACCACTGAGTGCAGAGTTAAACTAATAAGTGGCTGATGACCACTGAGTGAGGAGTTAAACTAATAAGGGGCTAATGACCACTGAGTGCAGAGTTAAACTAATAAGGGGCTAATGACCACTGAGTGAGGAGTTAAACTAATAAGTGGCTGATGACCACTGAGTGAGGAGTTAAACTAATAAGGGGCTAATGACCACTGAGTGAGGAGTTAAACTAATAAGTGGCTGATGACCACTGAGTGAGGAGTTAAACTAATAAGTGGCTGATGACCACTGAGTGCAGAGTTAAACTAATAAGTGGCTGATGACCACTGAGTGCAGAGTTAAACTAATAAGTGGCTGATGACCACTGAGTGCAGAGTTAACTAATAAGTGGCTGATGACCACTGAGTGAGGAGTTAAACTAATAAGTGGCTGATGACCACTGAGTGCAGAGTTAAACTAATAAGTGGCTGATGACCACTGAGTGCAGAGTTAAACTAATAAGTGGCTGATGACCACTGAGTGAGGAGTTAAACTAATAAGTGGCTGATGACCACTGAGTGCAGAGTTAAACTAATAAGGGGTTGATGACTACTGAGTACAGAGTCACCTAAAAAACATGACACTAAGACCATATTCCTAATATGCCTAGAAATAGGGAAAGGGCCCTTTGTGTTTCCCTTTTAATGTACCTGTCAAGGCTGGTCAAAAAAAAAAAAGGTTATGGGTTAAACAAGACAAAGAAACAATAAGAAAAGGATAGAAATCAATAAATTACACTCAACAAGACAATTTTCAGAAAGCGAAACTGTAGCTGTTTTAAAGACAAAACTACAGATGCTTCAGTTTCACCTTTAACTACAGCAAAATGTTGGGGAAAATGTAGAACAAAAAAACAATAAATTGAAGAAAAAAAAAAGATGAAATCATCAAAAAATAAAACAACTGAAAAGCTACAAGTTTCTGAGAAGAACAAAATATGGGAGAATTAAAGATGAGATCTCTACAAATGAGATCTCTGGTTAATTCTAAGTATAATTTTATAAGTATTATACATCAAACTATAATTATAATAACATCTACACTCTAAAACAAATGTAATGGCTTCTTTGAACAAAAAAAAAAAAAAAAAAAGCAATGTTAGAATCAAACAGTAAATCTAAACCCAAAAAATCACTAACTAACAAAGAACAAGGGCAAAAAGTAATCTGTTCAGACAGAAATTAATGTGAGCAAGTTAATTCAGGTATAAACTGGTCAAAAGTTGCAGAATGATGATGACACTGATGATGATGATAAAAAACCTCAAATGCACAATGACAAAAAGAAGTTAACAATGTAAAAGGAAATACATTACGCAGGCAACAGTAAACTGTTCTGAAAGTGCTGAATGCAAACAATATCCTCTCAAAAATGGCTTGAGATCAAAGATAGTTCCAGATAATACCTGCAAAGTAGACGAGCCTGCTTCCTGACTTGCAGATCTGATGTCAATGACCAAACACGAGAACTCTAACTAACAGCATTATGTTTCACATACGTAAATCTAAATACACATTTTCACGTACACCTGTCATTAAACTACAAATCAATCTACAGACAGCTGTTTTATGCAGATGGTACAAAGAAATGATTTATTTATGACATTATAGGCACAAAATGCTTGCTTGCTTGTTGTACCCCACCAGGACATCACACAAGCGATAAACACCCATGGCACAAAGTGCCACCATGCGGATGAGGATCGACCATGGAGAGGTTCCAGAAACCCCTTTCAGCCATTATGGCAACAACTGTGGCCCAGCTATATTCAGGGCATGGCTTCAAATAGCGAAAAATTGCACCCCACAAGGGGATGACAGGGATACGATTAGAAGTAATAGGCACACAATGCAACTGATAAATTACAAGATACCCTATTCTGCATACGAGCAATAAAAAAAAAAAAAATAACATAACAGGAGTAAACTTGGAGAGTTCATATGTAACAACAAATATTTTAGTCATCATTATTATCATCATATGCCATGCTGGTAATAAGCGTAGGCTGTCATGTTTTGCCATCTTACACGATCACCAGTCTCTTGGACCGATCAGTTCAATGTTTTTGTCTTTTCTTAATCCATTTGACCCAGCTTTCCAGGTATATTTATCTCTTTGCCTTCATCTGGCTCTCTTTCCATTTGTCTTGCCAGTTATTACCAATTTCTTCTCATAACATATCCAAGAAACACTGACCGTCTATGTCATGTAATGTGAGTAGATCACAAATAAAAACTTGCTATATGAAATGTTAGTTTAGCCTCTTCAGAAAGTCACACAGACATCTCATGTAAAAATTGTAAAGAAGAGAATAAAGTCAGAGAACAATCAGGATAATAACAAACTGATATGAACAGAAACATCTCAGCATTCAAAAGTCCGAGTAAATGGCAGCAAGGAAA